TAAAACAGGGGCCAAATTGTAATTCGCTTTGAACCCACGCTGTGATAATAATGAGCCCATCATCTCGGCCCCCAATAAAAGCAAAAAAAAAAAAAAAGCAACTCCAGAGTTCAACGATTTGTCTCCTTTATCTCGGCCCCCAATAAAAGCAAAAAAAAAAAAAAAGCAACTCCAGAGTTCAACGATTTGTCTCCTTTTTATCATTTTGTTGCCGTTGCCCTTACTTTACCTCCTCTCACCTCATATTTTGAATTTCAAATCTCGTTCTCCGCTCCCACGTCTCCACTCTCCCCCAGTTTCTCTCTCTGTCTCTCCCCCCGCTCTCTCAAACTTCTCTCTCTCTCTCTCTCTCTCTCTCTCTCTCTCTCTCTCAAACTTCCTTCATCCTGCCATTTCTCAACGAAACCCCAAATGGGTGCGTCAGGGAAATGGATCAAATCCCTCATAACCCTCAAGAAACCAGATCAAAATAACCCAGTAATCATCCCAACCAAAAACCCATCTCATATCTTCAATTTAATCTCATTTCTGAACTTGGGTTCGTCCCATTTTTAAATTTTTTTGACAGGAGAAGAGCAATGGAAGTGGAAAACCCAAGAAATGGAAGAAACTGTGGAGGAGCTCTTCGGCTGATATCGGTTCCATGTGGAGAGGATCGAGAGGGAGTAGCAGACACTCGGCGTCGGAGGCTTCGGAGAGTTCGTCTTCTGTTGCTGGTGATGCTTTTAGCGCGGCGGGCCGAAGGATTTCTTGGTTGTGAGGCAGGAGTGGGCTGCTATCAGGATTCAGACTGCGTTCCGGGGGTTTTTGGTAAATTAATTTTTGGTTTTTGAAGTTGATTATTCTAGATCAATTTTGGTATTTTTGAAAATGCATAGTTAAGATGCTTATGGTTGCGTATTGTGCGATATGTCATTAAATTTGATATTTTGGTCGATTTATATTGTTCTACACGTTGTTGTTAAAGCTGTGTAAGTAAAAAGTTGTGATTTTTATGACATGTTTACTTGTGTATCGAGATAATAATTTTAAGTTCAACTTTGAAAAGTTGTGCTGAGGTTCAAAAAGTTGTAATTTTATATTTTAGGTCGCCCAGAAATTGGACTATTTTAAGTAAAATTATCTTTTTAAAATCCAATTTAAATGCATGTCCAATGAGATTTGAATTTATACTGTTTTGATACCATTTTCAAACTTTCTTCCATGGCATCAAAACTCAGTTGGTGAGGCTTTCAAAATTTGAAGTTATGGTAATCTAGTAGTTTTTGAGAATATTGCTAAAAGAATTTTGCCGTTCACAAGTTAAAAGTAATAAAACATATAAATTTATTGTTTGCAGGACTTAAATAACGCGTAGATAAATATCAACAGAACATGCTATTCAATTTCATATCATATTAACTGGCTTAGTTTTATTCTGCAATATTTCAAAATAATTTCTGATTGATTGGCAAATATGTAGGCTAGAAGGGCATTAAGAGCACTGAAAGGAGTGGTTAGACTGCAAGCCTTGGTGCGAGGTCGACAGGTGAGGAAGCAGGCGGCCTTGACTCTCCGATGCATGCAGGCTCTTGTTCGAGTTCAGGCTCGCGTGAGGGCACGGAGAGTTAGGTTGTCGACTGAAGGCCAGGCTGTTCAGCAAATGCTTGAAGCTCATAGAACCCAGGGTGATGTCATTAAACAAGCTGAGGTGATATTTTACCCTTTTCATGTCATTAAACAAGCTGAGCTTATTGTATGATATGAATTGTATTGACAAAATTATAGGAAAATCCAACTATTATCACTAATTAATACTCATTTGGTCTTACTTGTGTTTGTTAATTGATTCAGCCATTTGAACCATTGGATAACTTTTTAGACGTTCTTTCTCTCAAGGGGGAAGACTGAGTAAGTTCTAAGTGTTGATGAAGGACTGGAAATGATCCTAACTAGATTGTGCATGTGTAGCTGTGACATACTGATGGTATCTGTTTATTTTAAATTTGACTTGATATAATCCTGAAATAGAAAGTAAATTTGAAGTCTAAATTTATATTCAAATTCTGAATATTGTCTGAATATGTTAGAATATTTCTTAATTATAGAGACTTACTCTTGAATATGTTAGAATATTTCTTAATTATAGAGACTTACTCTGTTTGTGTATTACACACTTCGTTTCAGAATGATCAACACTCAATGTGATTTTGTATACTTTTCTGATTTAAATGGTTTTTCTACTTTAAGGGTTAGAAGGGGCTAAACTTGGTGGAGACTCATTTCCTTTCCAATCATTTGTCATACTCAATGATGTTCCATTGTTTTTTTACATACGATTCTACTCTTTTTTCCATCAATTGTGGTTATTGAGTTCTATGTCCCCTAAATAACAAATATTAATACAGAACTACGTACATCACCATGGTATTTTCATTTACTTTTTTGGTTCATGCCGCGAATATTGTGGCCTTCAGGATAGATGGTGTGACAGTCAAGGCACATTAGAGGAAATCAGAACAAAGTTACAAATGAGGCAAAAGGGAGCTATCAAGAGAGAAAGAGCCATGGCTTATGCTCTCTCTCAACAGGTAAAAATCTAACCCCCTTTCTTTTTTTTTTCCATCATAATCTCTTCTTTAACCTGACATTATCCTTTTTTTTTTTACCTTATTTCAGCAATCAAGATCAACTCCAGACACAAGCTCCAAATCCTCAATTCAAAATCTTGATAAAACCAATTGCAACTGGAGCTGGTTAGAACGCTGGATGGCTGCAAAACCTTGGGAAAGTAGACTAATGGATGAACAACAAGCCCAGATCGATACAAATGATGTGCAATCTATCAAAAACTATGAAGATTTTCATAGCACTCGCTCAAGATGCTCAGAACCCAGTTCAGTTAAGATCAGAAGAAACAATGTTAGTACTAGAGTTTCAGCAAAAGCGCCAGCTCGCACTCGGTATAGTTCCTCTCCTAGTTCTGAGTTTCACTATGACGAGGCCTCTCCATCGTCGTCTTCTAATTGCACTTCTACACCGATATCAAGGAATGATTATATCAATGGAAATAGGCCTAATTATATGAACTTGACTCAATCCATCAAGGCAAAGCAAAAAGGTTCCAATTTTGATAGAGCAATGATGCAGAGAAATTCATCTGGAGAGTTTCGATTCAATAAGAAGATGACCTGTTCTTATATTGATTCTAGGAGCAGTGATGGTTCGGATCCTTCAGTAGCTTATTCAAGGGCATTGACTGCAAATTCAAGAAGGGAGAAGAGCGCGATGAGGAACATGAAGGAGAATTATTATTATGATGATCAACCATCTTCAGTGTTTTAGATTGTTTAGTTAATGAGATGTTTGATTGATACTGGTGAGTTTCTTCTATGTGTTCAACATCTTGTTGTAATTCTCGGAGTTTGGTAGCTTTAAAAAGATGTCTCTAATTTATGTTGCTAATATCATTTTCCTGTAAAGATATTTGTGTCTGAAAGCTTTCTTCAAAATGGTATAGTAATGCTACTGGATTATCAAGTACTGATATGTTGCTTTGACTGTCATTTATAATTATTCTGCTCTGGTTAGCAATGGATGATGTTGTAAATTTTAATTTGATCTATTTACTGTGAGACTAATGCTTGTACAATTGAACTTCCATCCATGTACAAAAATTTTATGTTGGCACTGTGTGATTCATGTCTGAATATAGAGTTAAAGTATCCAGATACATAAATTCACAGAGAAAAGCTTACATGTATTACACTAGAGAAAATCCTCTTCTCCGATTCTTGTATGAATATAGAGTTAAAGTATCAACTATTATATATTTTTGGGTTGAATGTTGACAGACAACCTGCTTTCTACTATTTAGAGAGACCACCTGGGTAAATTTTTTTGACTCTTTTGCTCTTTGGAGGTCTATTTGTCCCAAAAAAAAAAGATATTTTTCCTCTGAGAAGGTAAAGGACTGAAAAAAAATTCACTGGAGGGGGTTTATCAGCAGCAATAGAGCTACAAGGGATCTTTTAACCCTATATTTTTCTTCCATGGTATAGCTATATTATTTCAAGAACTTTATACAACACATCCTAGGACTTACACATCTCTCTTAATCGCTCGGAGCTTGACACCATTCTTGAATTCAAGAACGAGTCCGTACTTATATTCCAAAGGCGATTGCATCTTAGGAGAGTGCTTGAAGATATAAGATCGATAGAGTCGAATAAGTGCTAGCTTGATCTCTAGTATCGCAAACTTTTGTGCTACACAAGTTCTCGGTCCTATTCCAAAGGGAATGTTAGCATATGGATGCCTTTGTTTTTCTTCGTCACAATTTGGATCGAATCTCTCTGGTTTAAATTCTTCTGGTTCAGGGAATTGTTTAGGATCTTTTGCCAGAACTCCTATGGCAAGCCAAATCCAAGTTCCCTGCAAAATTGAAAAGATAAGTTTTGATTTTTTGATTATGAGACTTTGTTTTGATGTGGATTATTTTTTTTAAGTAAAGCTTTTACCTTTGGTAGAATATAACCTCCAACTTCGACTTGTGTAGATGTTTCCCTGGCAACCACTGGCGACACTGTGCGATACCTCATCGTCTCTTTTACCACCTGCAGGAAATCAGTTCAGTCTTATCTGTTGTAAACTGCTGTTAAATTAAATAAAACAAAAATATGAGTAGGAAAATAACAATCACATTTAAGAATGGAGGAGATTAAAATATGGTAGACTAAGAAAACTAAAACGAAATTGTTGTTTCATTGCACATTGCAAATACCGAAGCACTTTGATGAATGAGAATGATAATAAATTAGAATCTCCTCTAAATATTCAAAGAATCTTTGATGATTAAGAACGCAATTCATGTTACTGACTCCAAAAGTTGTATTCATGATGAAGAAAAGGCCATTCAAACTCATTAGACCATGAGAGAGAGAGAGAGAGAGAGTAATGGGCATCCTTGTCATGTAAGGGGATTCTCTCATATACATTTATATAACTGAATTTCAATTAGCTAAATAAACAAGAAAAATCTCTCGTGGTCATATTTGGTTGAGATTCAATTAGCTGAATCTTATATGAAAAAATTCTTTCATATGACGTACAATACCCATTATTGACTATTTATAAAACTATAAATGTCTGATATGACATATGATACCTATTATTCACATTTTATAAAAAAATATAAATGCCTGATAGCTAACTAACAAGATGACTAATGTTCTTACTAAAATATTCATCGAAAAGAAAGAACATCAGAAATTTATAGAAACAAATTAGTAATAAGCCCAATAAAATCATATAAATACTAACCTGATCAAGATAAGGAAATTTAAACTTCAGATCATCAGCAGTAGGGATCACATCACGAGGAAGAGCATCATCAATCTCCTGAAGCAGCTTCTTCTCAACCTCAGGATGGTTCGAAACTAGATACACAACCATCACCAGAGTAAAATTTGTAGTCTTCGATCCAGCAAGAAGATGCTCATAAGCAAGTGCACTAATACTCGTATTATCAATTTGTTCTTTTCCTGACTCTCTAGCATTGAGTATAGCAGCCAAAAAATCTTTAGACTTCAGTGTCTTCTCGATCACTCTCTTTTTTATAATCTCATCGAGTTTTCCTGAAAGTTTTCTATTTGCATCATGCATTCTGTAATCAGCAGTTCCAGGGATTCTCCTTAGAATTTCTCTGCATGGTACTTGAAGAAAAGGGGCAATTATGCCAATTATAGTTGAAAATGAGCTACCAAGCCCCATTTTCAATGAATCAATAGACAAAGCATGTAGTTTGAGAAACTCAGAGACCTCATCTTTATCATAAGAATTTCCCTTCGAAAGACAAGCAAACGTTTCTTCATCCTTGTCATCGTTATTATCATTGGTATTGGTGACTCCTACATTTGAGAGGCCAAATTGGACGCCAAAGGCAGTGTCTCCTATTACATCAATAGCCCATTTAGTGCAGAGCTGAGAGAATTGTATGTCTTCTTTTGATGAGGAGATGTTGGATATTAGAGATTCAAGATGAGAATATATGATAGGGATTAAATTGGCGAGGTGAGAGGGTTGGTAAACTGAGACGACTGTGTTTCGCTTCGACGACCAGCTAGAGTCTCTGCAGGAAATTTTTGTCAACAGATATGTCTTAAGGTTCATTGAGATATATTTCTGATAAGGTTAAATTTCACAAAACCTAAATATGTTTTGGAAGAAAACTCCCAAATTTAACACCGTTAATGGAGTTAAGTGAAAGAAATTAAAATGTTTTGGGCGTTTTATGGAGTTCAAAATTTATTGGGGGTTAAGTGACGTTACAATTTTTTTGGGGGGCAAGTGCAATATGCCTAATACTTATTGGAGGTTTAAACTTACCTTTTCTGATTTTGATATCTATGGATGAAGCAGGCGTTACGCAATTACTGACAGGTTTGAGTTCAATATTCAGAACTCAATTAGTCAGTGATAAAATTTGCAAAATATGAAAATTTAATCAAATTCTGGGAGAAGTCTGTTAATGAGAAAATGCAGACTAGAAGTGAACTTGTTATTGAGATATCTAGATTAGAGATATATGTAAGGTTTCAATGAGGATATATTTCTAATACCTAGAAACAGAAATGAAACAGGTAAGTTGCAAATGCTGACAGGTTGAATTCAGTAATTGGAACTTAATTGGTCAGTGATAAAAATTGCAAAATGTGAAAAATTTATGAGAAGTCTGGTAATGAAAAAAAAAATCATAGTATAATTAAACTTAGAAATATAGATAGGCATAAACTGGAAGAATCATAAGTTAATATCACATCACTCTCTTGAATCTTACTATATATTACAAATTTACAATAGACAAATCTAAGAATATTTGATGAATACAAATCACTACAAATTAATACAAATCACTACAAATTAATACTGCAGATCTGCTTGTGGATTCATAAACTAGTCTAGTACGAAAATTAAAATTACAATAAGATCTGCCGAAATATTGTGGACAAGCAGGTCACTTATTTTTATCTGTGACAATGATACAAATATTTTGTATTGAAAAAGCTAGTGATTGCTCCTGAATAAGAAATTACTACATGAGAACCATACATATATAAACTTCCATATGAGAGCACATAAAAGTACTGAAAAGATTAAAGAAGCCAAAATAAATAACAATGAGAAGGGCGAAAAGGATCATGCACTCGTCCGTAGTAAAAATTGGGATTTCGAATAAATTATTGAATAAATCACTTATCCATCACTACTTGTCAAAATATATATGACATTGCTTTGATTTAGTCGAAGAGACATATATAAAAGTCGTTTTGGAAAATAGTCTTTGAGAACTCTTCAACTAAAACAACATATTAGTATAATATATACATGCCGGCAAAATGTATGATGCAACTTTAGACAGTTACTGTTTCTAGGTATTTACTATGAAATATATAAAATTACATCTTCTAAGGATTCAAAATTCTTACCTGGCGGCAACAATCTCCTTCTCCATAAAAGACAATCAAGGAACTTGCAGAATTTTTAGAACTAAAGCGGAGAACCAAATTATGCGGCTTCTGACTTCAAAAAGTACATTAAATACTTTATATATGATAGTTATAATTTCTGGATATTTACTAGGAAATTAATCTCATCCCAAACTGTCTAAGGAGAAAGCCTAGAAACTTTTCTCTCTTGAAAGATTAATTAATGCCAGTGCTTGTGTTTAGTACCTTGAGAGAAAGATACCCTCTTCATGGAGAGGGGATTCAGTTGTTGGAGAACGGATGCTCCTGTTGTTAATGATCTTGAACTTCTTGATTCCCACTTCTCTGCATAATTCTGGATCACTTATTATCACAATAGGTTGCCTCCCCAAGTGGAACCTAAATCAAATTAATTAAACTTTGTTACAATAATCATAAAAAAAAATGAGAGTTTGACCTTGACCATGATAAAAATCAGGGTAAATCGCTGATAACCAATCATAATATCTTCAGTAGTACTTACCATCTCTCAAGAAATATTAAAGTAAACCGTGGTAAGTAATCTAAGAAATAACAAATGCTACTACTTGTGAATTGATAGATAATAAGTGCGATCAAGTTATACACAGTGAGGGTACGTTACATGCAAATTTACACAAAATAATGGATAAGTCCCCTGGACTATCTCCCAATCGCGGATAGACCCTCTATAATTCTATTGTTGCGGAGAAAGATAAAATTGTTTTTTGACAAGTAGATCTATTGACGGAGAAGGAGAGAAAAATATTCACTCAAAGGGTCTATTTGCAATTGGACGATAATACAGGAGGTATATCCGCAATTAATCCTTTTTTTTATAGGTGTTAAGGCTAGAAAATTACCTAAACATTGATCCATATTTGTGAGCAAGGGGTATCAAGACATCCGGTCCATGCTTTGCCATCAAGGGAAGATGGCCTAAAAGGAATTTTGTGGGAGGTCCAGGGATCTTTCTCACTCTCCAATAGGGTGCATAGAAGTAAACTAGGAATCCTATGGGGAAAATGGCTAAGGAAAGGAGACAAGGACCAAGTAGCCTTATTAAGGGTACCCGAATCTCCATTAACCGCTCTAATCCCCAAATAGCTTCCAAGAAATCCATAGCGTGGGGGTAAGAGAGAGAGAGAGAGATTTTGATATGAGATCATGAAGGTTGTATATCCTATCTATATACAAAAGAGTATTTGGCTTCTTGTGGATTCTATCTGATGGTATTTGGAAACAAAAGATGCTGCCTACTGTTTTAAATATTAAAAAAAAAAGACGCTACCAATTAAATAACAGGATCAAATATATCTGACACTCGTCGGATATGTAAATAAAATATCATGCATTTCACAATAAAATAGCTACATGAGGATACTATACACACTCGCTAGGCTCTTTGGTGATTACATAATGAAGCATTTTGAACGGACCTGAGTTGTGCTTGCAAAAACTGGACAATTTTTTGTACTTTGCTTGTTTGGTTCAAAACAAGAAAATGACTCATAATTTTATAGAAAACAACAAGATTTTCTTTTCTTTTGTTTGGTTACATATGCCAAATTTATAGAAAAGTGTCAACTACAATCTTTATCACTTTAATGACTATGCACATATACAAAATTTTCACATCTTTAAATCTTATAAAAAACCAACGAGAGTAGTACTAATGCCACAATCATATTACAAACGCTCGATTGAATCATAATAACTCATAACAAGAAAATTATCTCAAGCAATAATTTCTGGTAAATAAAACTAAAATATTGAAGACCAGAAATAACTTGAGGACGGAACATAAAATAGAACTAAAGTAAATATATTTTTGACATATGTTTTCATTGTAATTTTGCAAGCTCCTCAACTCTCCTGCAGAGCTCCTCAACAGGAACATCCATGGTCGTAGACGATGACTCCTAGTCGACAGAGCTGAAGAAGGCATATTGATTTCATTGATCTCCCATCATCTGGCCTAAAGAAAGCCAATATTGATCAAATTTCATATTGAAAAATAAATCAAAATTGAATAATAAGAGCATGGGGCTTCAGTTTACTCACTGCATTCCATCAAAATATGATCTTGTAGTTCCATTTAGAGCTCCACTTAGAGAAGTGACACTCAATTCCCATTCCTCATTACTATTGTCATAGCCTTCAAAGGTCTGTATTCAAAATATAGTCAACGTATAGCTCAAACTTAACACTTTGAACTCTGAAAATAAAAAAATGGAAGAAAAATGTGTGAATTTTAGTACCTTATCGGCTAGCATTTGCTGCAACACTCGAATAACTTGAGCTCCAGCCGAGTGCCCAACAAAATGAATTGGATGGTGCTCATCCCATTCAGGATAATTCCCTGAAATCAGGCCTCAACTCAGCATTATTCAAATACCCATTTTAATTAACAAGAAAATTATCTCGAGTAGAAACTCATACATCTACCTTTCACACGGTTAAGATCAAGGAAAGATTCAATAAGATCACCATCCAAGAAATTTCTAGCATCAGATCTCGAGTCAGTGTACATAATGTAATGCAGGACGGAAGTGAGAAACCTCAGAATCCAACAATGAGTGTTCGCTGAGTCCAAAAAAACAATGTGTTCTCTGAATCAAAAAAAAAAAAAAACAATCTTTAAATCCATGAAGTAAGATAAAAGAGAATTTTATTGATAAAAGTAATCTAATCCTTTTAGGGTTACACGACTCTTCTTAAATAGAAAACAAAACAGACTCCTAATAAGACGAGAATTATAAAGAAATAGAAAATATCAAATCCTACCCAAAAAAAGAATCCCTATAATAGGAAACAAATCAGTCCAACATTAATCAAAATTGAATTTGTTTTCTAATCTAAATAGACTCTAAGTTTATTACTAAAAAATAAACTAAATATTAATTATTTTTTGATTTCTGCTAATAACTGATGATACTGATGAGATTTCAAAAAATCTGACAATTTGGTTTGCTTCGTCTCGTCGAGATAGGTGATTTATATGCATAATATGTCAGAATCCGCCTTCTAGATTGGAATATATGATCATTTCTTTCTGAAAATTAATAATTTGTGTATATACACATTTAGGTTGTGATTGTCACAATCTTCCATAAAATTATCTGTTAAGCGGTCCTACAACACTATTTAAGCACTGTTTTAGTGGCTGATTAAATATTTGTTTTCTACTGTAAATTAATTGGTTATGATTAATTAATAAGAAAGGTGGATCCACTCTTTTTTACTTCAAAAAATGGGACATATGGGCATATGGTTAAAATTTTAATAAATCTACCGACCGAATCATTGCGAGAGAAATTGTCAATCTCCCAGTTATCTATCAATTCTTAGACAGACAACTTGTAATTAACTATACACACTAATAAATAGGATAGTTAGCTCATTATGTCTATTATGCAAGCCTCTTATGTTATGTTCAAAGTTCTTTGCCTTTTCTATAAGATTCCTGTTGTGTTTCTCTGTATATCAGCCTGAAAATGTTTCCGTCAAAATTGTAGTAGAGAACTACCGAAGAAAAAGCATCTGAGGGTTAAAACTTTGGATAAAAGTTGAGATTTTTTAAGCAACTAAAATTGACAACCAAGTCTTTTTACATATCTTCTTCCATTATAATGTAGGACGCTTAATAGACAATTGTTGGTTTCAGGTGTAGAGCCAAATGTTAGCCCTTATGTTTTGATGATGTTTTACAACCACCATTAACGGTACTAATGGCTTATTGAGTGCAAATGTAGTAAATTCATTTATCAAGCTTGTTAGTGCCATTCATGGAGGATTGGATGGAATATACGCTACAACGATGATATCCAAAGGAGGAGGCATAGTGATGAAGCAATGTTATTTCAAGAACAACAAATTCATATAAAAGCTTCATCCAAACTCAAGCTATATCAAGACTCAAGAATTGTAATCTATGTGAGGATATTAGCTAGTTTTTTTTATTCTCTCTCTAGTATTAGAATGTAGGCAAAGAGTTATTGAATTCACTTGAAGCTATTGGGACTCACACACACGTTTTCATACTTAAGCTTTTAAGCGTTTTTCGCAAAATACTATTTTTCACAAATATGAGGACCTATCTGTAAAATTCTATTTCCAAACAGTTTGTTTTTAGTATTAAAAACATTTTACAAAGTTTCATAATTTTCAGAGGTCATATAAATATTTTCTAAATATTTTAGGTTGAGTCAATATACTATTCTGGAGCATATCAGAATACGGTCGACCGCACCGGTCGACCGCACTTAAGATCATTCGTCACTGGGCTCCAGAGAGGTCGTCGGTCGACCGGTGCGGTCGACCGAAATCTTGATTTTTCTATTGGTCGACCGCATGATGGCTCCGCTTGTTTTCTGTTTTTTCAAAGCTGCTCGCGGTCGACCGGATTTTCGGTCGGTCGACCGAATTTATCTTTTCGATCGACCGAACGTTCTGGCAGTCGACCGAAAGTTTATTCGGTCAACCGAGAGCTTTTTCAAACGGTCGATTGCCTTGGTTACTGTACTATCACTTAACTGTGTTTGGCACAATCTGTGGCAATAGTCTGAATAGGAGATTATTTTCTTAATTGGGAAGATTGGGTTGTGATTTTAAAATGATTAATCTATCATATTTAAACCCTCTCTCCTTCATCTTCTAAGTTGCCCTAACTTCTGCTGAAAAACCAGAGAGACGCTGTCTTCTGAGAAAAAATTTCAAACTATGTTTTCTTTGGTTTTTCACTGTGTTTCTTGTGTGAGTTCACTTCCCAGCTTCAACATTCTTTCTCTTTGCCATAGGGACTTGTAAAGAGAGAGTCTTGCATCATTTCTACTGCTGTGTGAGTGTGATCTTGTGTAGATCAACTGTGAGGGTGTGGGATCTGTTGAGATCAACTGTGTAGTGAGAGATTGAGAGGGAATCGCTGTGTAGACGAAGTTCCGGCTTCCAAACCGGGTGTGTAGTGGATTTCTCCTCGAGAGTGGGGAGCGGGGACATAGGTCAGCGGACCGAACCTTGTTAACACATCGCGTGTCAAAGGATAACAATTCCTAACCCTATCTCTTTTACTTTAATCGCATTAGAATATTGTGGTTTGCTTGTGTTTAATTTTTATTGCATATTAGAGCCTCTAGACCCTAATCACCCCCCTCTAGGGTCCAACAATTAGTATCAGAGCTTGGTCTCTATATTAATTTTTGGTTTAACCGCCTTAGAGAAAAGATCTAATGGAGGCCTCTTTGAATATGCATATGTTAGAAGGACAATCCACCACTAGACCACCTCTCTTCGCCGGAAGCAATTTTGCTTATTGGAAGGCTAGGATAAGAATTTACCTTCGTTGCATTGACCTTGACATCCTAGAGCTCATAGAAAAGAAATATGTAGAGAAGTCCAAAATCGGGAACATGACCGATGAAGAAATGCACCTAGCCAATCTCAATGCTATGGCCATGAACGCCTTAATTTGTGGTCTTTCCCCCAATGAATACAATAGAGTTTCCACGTGTGCAACCGCATACAAAATTTGAGTAAAATTATGTATCACACATGAAGGAACCCCCCAAGTTAAAGAATCTAAGATTAGTGGGCTTATGCATGATTATGAGTATTTAAAATGCTTCCTAATGAATCCATTGATGCTATGTTTTCCCGTTTTACTAATATCATCAATGAATTACATGGTCTTGATAAGCAATTGTCCATTCAAGAGATGAACTACAAGATACTTCGCTCCTTGACTCCGGCATGGGAGCCCAAAGCTACGGCAATTGAGGAAGCTCATGACCTCACTACCTTAGCTCTTGATAGCCTCATCGGAAAGCTCAAAGTGCATGAGAAGAAGCTCAAGGGGAAGGAAAAGGAGAGTTGAAGACCATAGCTCTCAAAGGAGCTAGTGACAACTCATCTTCGTCATCGGATAGTGAAGTCGATTTTTCTAGAGAAATGGCTCATCTCTCTAGAAGAATCTCTAGACTCATAAAAATAAATAAGAAATTTAACCCTTGATCTAACAACAAGTTTTCCGCTCATGTAGGTAAATGTTTTGAGTGCAATGAACCGGGTCACATCGCTAAGGATTGCCCTAAGCTCAAAGAAAAGTACATGAAGTACAAGAAGAAGAAGGCTATGTATGCCGAATGGGAAGAATCCGAACCAAGTGATTCGGATAGTGATGAAGAATGAGCCAAACTTGCTCTTCATGACCCAAATGTTTGTTTCATGGAAAATGAACATGAGGTAATATCCGAGGCCGAAAGTGAATCTTTCTATATGCAATGTGACATAGCTATGGCTTTAGAAGAGTTGAACTTTGAATTTAAAAGAATGTCTAAAGAATACTCTTCTTTTAAAAAATTGCATGCCTCTTGTGATATTAAGCTAGAACAACTAACAACCTCTCTTGCTCTAAAAGATGAATTGCTAGGAGATCTCGATTTCGAGAACAAGCAATTAAGATAATTGAGAGTTGTAGAACTAGACCCACTCATGCTTATGCTAACTATAATCACCATGATAGAAATAGGTTTCATGGTTCTAACATCCGTACATACAAAAGAAATTTTGTATGCACTTATTGTATGAGACATGGACACATTTCTACTCATTGTAGAATTAAAGATAACCATGATTTTTATGGAATGATGTGGGCACCCAAAGGTACCAAGACTACTAACCACCAAGGACCCAAGACATGGGTACCTAAAGCTACTATATCTTCATCTTCATCTTTTGTAGGGAACGTCACGGCAACGACGTAAGGAGATGTGGTACCTTGATAGTGGTTGCTCACATCATATGACAAGGCAACAAAGAGTTATTTGCAACCCTATCAAGGATTCAAGGAGGTAGTGTCTCCTTCGGTGGTGGTGAGAAAGGTAAAATCATTGATATCGGTTCTATTGGTAAGAAACCCTCACTCGTTATAGAAGATGTTTATTTAGTAAATGGTTTAAATCATAATCTTCTTAGCATTAGCCAATTAAGTGATAAATGTTTTGATATTTCATTTAAACCGGATAAATGCATCATTAGTATGAATGGAAAAATTGTTTTTATTGCAAATCACAAATCTAATGTATACATTTTTGAGATGAATGAATTAGTGAATCAAGATGTGAAGTGTCTTGCGGCAATTGATGAAAATCCTTGGATTTGGTACAAAAGACTTGGACATGTAAATATAGAGTTAATATCAAAATTGTCTAAGAGAAATCTTGTGAGAGGATTACCTAGCTTGCACTTCATCAAAGATACCATATGTGAGGATTGTGTTAAAGGTAAACAAACAAAATCCTCTTTCAAATCCATCAATGAGGTATCAACTTCTAAACCCTTGCAATTACTTCATCTTGATTTGTTTGGTCCTATGCGTGTTACCTCTCTTGGAGGCAAACACTATGTTTTTGTGATTATTGATGATTTTTCTCGTTTTACATGGACAATATTTCTTGCTAAGAAAAATGATTGTTTTGAAGAATTTGCTAATCATGTTAAAAGAATTGAAAATGAAAAA